GAGATGCATCTTAGCTCTGGAAATTGTTATTGAATATGTCAATGCTGTTGTAATGAAATGCTTCTTCTGATTGTGTGGTTATTAAATAATTAAAATAAAATAAAATATAAAAATACAAAGCATCAAATTCCATATAGCAATTTACATTTAACCCACCTAATTCTGTGGTACAATATCTGAGGTTTTACCAGGTTCTGTTGGAGGAAAAATAACTGTCTTGCTTCTAATTTCAACTTTCGTAGAAGGGGGCTTTGTTACTGGTTTTGTCAAATGACTAATGGAAGGCTCAGATGCTGGGGCAAGAATTCCAAATGTGCTGGGGGCCAAATTAGATAAAAGTTCTTGAGTCAAATCTTCTTGAATTTGAACTTTTACAATTTTCTGAAATGAGCCAAATGAATAAGACACAAAAGCAGTTATCAGTTTATAAGACACATTCTCATTTTTAAGTTATGGTAAAGAAATGTCAAACAAATGAAACACTGATGAATTTAAAATTAAAGCTTAATGAGATCTCAAAGAAGGAAATCTTTAACTATTTCCTCTTTCCCCATTACCTTCTTTTCCCTTTGTCTTTCCTTCTTCCCCTTCCTTACTTCATGGTGTGTGTGTGTGTGTATGTGTGTGTGTCTGTGTGTGTATGTCCATGCCACAGCACTTGTGGAGGTCAGGACAACCTCAGGCATCACTGCTCACCTTCCACCTCATTTTAAATAGGGTCTCTTGTTCATCACTGTGTATACCAGGCTAACTGACTAGTGAGGTTCTGGAGATTCTCCTGTCTCTGCCTCCAATCCTGCTGTAGGAGGCACATTGGGATTAGCAGATGTATACTGCTATGTCTACCTTTATGTGGGTTCTGGGGATCTGAATTCAGATTCTCACATTTATGAGGCAAGTGCTTTACTCACTGAGACACATTCCTGATCTCTTTTCTCCCCCTCCCTCCCTTCCCCCCTTCTACCTTCCCTTCCCTTTCCTTTTCCTTCCTTCCTTCCTTCCTTCCTTCCTTCCTTCCTTCCTTCCTTCCTTCCAGTCTCTCTTCTCTCTCTCTCTCTCTCTCTCTCTCTCTCTCTCTCTAAAAAAGCAAATATCACTCCCCAAGAAAACTGTTCTGATCACTAAGGGCACAATTCTGTACTAAGTACTCTGATTAAGCATAGCTACTTGACTTTCATTTGACTTCTGAAATGTAAATGTTAATAAGGATTATGAAACTGAAGCTACAAAATAAAGGAAATGTTGTTTAGAAAAACAATTCACAAGTACCTTCTGTCCATTATCACAGTGTATATAGATCAAACCACTCCATGGGAACATTGACTGTTTTGTGGATAGGGAGGAATTAGGACTCACAAGAATTTGTAGTTTACTCCTTAAAGAAAAAAAAAAAATTAGTAAGTACAGAGAATATTCTGTACTTTCACAGCAGTAATGACAAGAGTTACAAATACTGTTCTGTCAATAACCAATCATTTCCTCTGGCTGGGAAAGAACAGAGGATGTAGTCAGCGCCCTCCCTAACTTCCTCACCTGGGTCATCTGGCCTCAATCCCCAACAAGGGCCAACAAAAAGAATACCATGAATCCTTGAGTCCAAGGGAAAATTCATGTGATTATGCACCATTGCACAGAAATACCATCTCAGAATCAATTCTATATAGACCCATACTACATAAGCTCTGAGCCACTTGATGATATGGATGATATGGTCACAGCACAAAGCAAATTAATAACTTCCAGTAAATTGGAAGAAAGGGGAAGAAGAAAATTGAGGGGGGGATATATACAATTAACTAGTTACTAATCTTCTCTGTGTTGAGGGCCATGGGTGCCAAACTTAACTTTAATTGAACAGACCAGATTTGTAGCTACAAGAAATTAAACATGTCAAAAATGGCATGGCAAAATTACTTTCCACTGCTATGAAGCTACAGAGTTATTTGTGAAATACCCGCTCTAGCATCTCCCTATCCTTTCACTCATTAGTTGGCAAGGGCTTGCTGCAGTTGATAAATACTTAGTGCAAGCTGAGCTGATTGCTTTATTCTTAGCAATGTCTCTCTGGGGATTCCCTGTCCATATGTTAGCTAGCTCACAACATCAATCCAGTTATTATGCACATTCATAATTTTGCAAATGTAAACAAACTCTATGTTGTTGTTCTTCAAAGCTATTAATCACAGATAGTGTGCCCTTTAGATGGGAGAGTTCTGTGTTGACCAGGTAAAATCCCTGGAAAGCTGCAGAGCTGTGGATCACCTCCTATCAGTAATCAGACTGTCTGCAGAAAGCACCTGTGTGTGATTGCTAGTCCTAGAAGTCTCCTTCCTAGAATACTCTGTTAGAAAATAAGATAGATTATAGCTCAGACATACTACAAATGAGCAAGTTCTGACTGAAAAATACCTTTTAGGAAAAAATCAACAGAATGCACATTTCAAACTACAGCAACAGAAAGCATAACAGCTGGGCTTTGGAGAGACCAATAACCTCACCACATACCTGGTTTTATTTCTTGCCTTGCAATTTTGTGAGCAGAACAGTGTGTTAGAAAACACTCTGATGTTTTCCATTCCAGGGTCTTTGTTCCACATAAAATACATTTCTTTACAATCCCAGGGAATCTATCTGGCTGTGTGTAATCTCTATTCCACTAAAGGGAGTAACTCTTGAACTCACCATGTGTCACAAAGCCAGTTATGTACTTTGCACATTTAGCACACGGTAAACTTCTACTCAACAAATTTATTTATTTTTGCAGTTACAGAGAACAGAAATCAGAATCTTGCCTTGCACATACTAGGCAAGTGCTCTACCATCAGGCTATATATTAACTCTACACAACTTTACATGACATGATTTAGTCCTTTAATTAGGAAGAGGAAAGGAATCAGTGGGAGTGGGAACAGGAGGTTAAGTATGATCAAAATATATACATGTATAAAAATGTTATAATGGGGGCTGGAGACATGGCTCAGCAGTTAAGAACACTGACTGTTCTTGCAGAAGATCCAGGTTCGAATCCCAGCACCCACATGGCAGCTAACAACTGTCTGTAACTCCAGTTCCAGGGGATCCAACAGTCTCTGTCCTTCACACGCATTGCACGACATGAGTGCACTTACCTACATGCAGGCAATACACGCATACACATAAAAATAACAAAATATTTTTTAAAAAAATGTTATAATGAAATTATGTATAATATGGGCTAATAAAAAATGTTTTAAAAAGGTCGCCATGATAGCATCCAAATAATAACAGAAGAAAACAGAGGACATACTTACTCTGGTGCAATAAATCCATGTTGTGGTGTGACTGTCAAGCAATGTGCTGGCCAGTATAGCTCAAATTTCAGTAACCTGGCAGAATTATTTATAATCTGAAAACACCCAGTTTTTGCCATGTCACCTACTGTATCAATAGTGAAAAAGACAAATGTTAGTAATAAATCCTAAGCAAATACTAGTATAATAGCTTATTTTGCTTTTTGCAACTGCTTAACTATAGGAATTTCAAGTCTTTGCTAAAACAGGTCTACTTGGTAACTCTTAGAAACCACCAAGTTAGGAAAAATACAAATCTGAAAAGTTATCATGACCTGTTTTAACTTTAGGACATAGTTGTTCCTACTCTAAACGTTAAATACTAGTGCTTTATTTTGAAACCTGTAAAACTTGGAACTTGGTTTATGACAAGGAATTCTTATCTTCTCATCCCACCACATCTGTAAGACTTTTAAGGAAAGACCCAGTTGATGCTTTCCTGAGACTGATGGCTGCAGCAGTGGAGCTCTTTTCCCTTCCTCCTGATTCTTTTAAACTATCCAGTTGGGAAAGGCTGTGAGACTGGACCCCAGTCAATGGGGAAAAGTCACAGTACTCTTGGGTTAGGGATAAAAGCCCCCCAAGCTTCCAGGTCTTGTGTGCTTGCTGGGTCTGACTGACCATACAAGTCACCTTTCTGCAAATGTAAAAATCTGCCTTGTCAAATTACTTTTGCTTGGTCTCTGTGTTCTTTTGTGTGGTATTGATGGGGTCCTTGGACCTTGGATTTAATTTCTAACAAATCTAATAGGATCAATGTTAAGTTAATAAACAGCCAAGTATCCAATGAGCTCCCCAGGTGGGGTAAACTCAACTGCCAGGTCTCAGGGGTGGGAGCTAGTCTTAGATGAGCCATTAGCCCTAAATGCATGTGTGTTCTAAGCCACAGATACAGAGGTGCAGACCCAGATTCCTAAAAATATTGAGAAATTCTTACTGAAATACTCACAAGTAGAAGGAGCTACCAGAATTAAGTGTTCTGGGTGGATAGCCCACATTTCTTCTGAAGTTGGTGTACTCTGAGATGCATGGGCAGTTTGTGAGAGAAAAGGAGACCTTTGGGGGCCTTTAACTGGTAAAACATCCAAAGAGACATTGCCACTGTGTCTTCCAAAAGCTCCTAATTCACTGAAACAATTATTTAAAAGCAGAAGTCAGAGACATTAAAAATGATAATTAAATTACTTTGTATTTTGTATTAATTCTTCATCAAATAAGCCATTAGGACAAAACTAAACTAAAATACTTTTTAGTGAATAAAGTATGCTTGAAAGTAGTCTGCTAGCACTTGGGAGGCAGAGGCAGGAGGATCTCTGTGAGTTCGAGGCCAGCCTGGTCTCCATTAGCAAATCCAGGCCAGTTGCGGCTACAGGGAGACCTTGTCTCAAAAAGACCAAAAAAAAAAGTAGTATGTCTGGCTTGGGATGTAGCTCTGAGGAAGGGTGCTTGCCAAACATGACAAGTCCTAGATTTGACATCCAGCACTGCAAGAGAAAAAAACCTAGAATGTGGGCATTATTAATTACACCAATATTACAGCTACTCTAAACAAAAATAAAAGCCTAACTCAAAGTAAGAGTGGGCCCGAAACCCAAAGGACACATGTTCCCCGAGATGTCTTTCAGAATTGTACATATGAACCAGGTCACACTGACATATTTATTCCAAAAGGTTTCTCCAGCCTTGTTGGGGCAGTATAAAGTTTTTAAGCTCAGCTCCACCCTTATCTCAATAGGCCTTTTCAGCCATACTATCTTATTCATCCAAGGTCCACATGTTCTTCCCAAACCCCACAGCTTCCAATGGGTGGGTGTGCTGCTTGCAGTGCTTTGATATGCTAATTCACAAGTATACACACATTATCTTTTTGGGTGCAGTACCAAACAGAGGATGCCAAGGAGGTGTCCGAGAGCATGGTTTTGCTGGAGTTAATTAAAAGTCATTAGTTCAGATTATGTCCATTAATAAAACTCACTCCAACAAATAAAAAACTACAGAGTAAGTTACAGAGTATACTAAACTTTAATCAGAAAATTTGGTGGCTTCCATCGTTTCTTTTATCTGGCTTCTGCATTTTAAATCTCTTAAAAGATTTACTGGAAAATAACCCAACAGAAAAACTAAATGGTAGCACTTGCTTTTAATCTCAGCACTGAGGAGGCAGAAGCAGGTGTATCTCTATGAGTTTGAGGCCATCCTCATCTACACAGTGAGTTCAGGTCAGCCAGGACTACACAGTTGAGACTCTATCTCAAAAAAAAAAAAAAAAAAAAAAAATTAAGAAAAAACTAATTCTTAACATGGCTGTAACTGCACAATGATAATCTGTTTCACAAGAGTGATACTAAAGTCCATTGGAACAACAAAGTCTTCTGGATAAAAGCTACAGTAAAAAATGCTAATACAGTATAGGAAGATTCTTATTTTCTAGTAAGCCTTATAAACAACTGTAATATAACCCTATTTTGTAATCATAAAAGCACACGTCATAATTTAAACTTCTTTGTTCAGTGTCAAATTCTTCTACCACAGAGGGAGCTCTAAGAGTTTTATTTCCAATCTATACTTAGCAGAAAAAGAGAGGGGAATCCCAACTCTTCCTCTTTCCAGGACACTCTCATCATGGTTTTTAAATCACTTTTAATGAACCAGAGAAACAAAAGAAGCATGAGACAAGAGTCAGACCAATTAAAACAACTGTTGGTTCTTCAAAGTTTTTTCTTACTGAAGATGAGTCCCTGACCACGGTGATTGTCAAGGTAAGTCTTGATATATGTAACTACTAAGTGTTTTTTATTTTTAGTTTATGTTTATGAGTATATTATCTGCATGTAAGTTCACCCATGTTATGCGATGCCTGCAGAGGTCAAAACAGGGGGTTGGACCCCTGGAATTGGAGTTACAGACAATTGTTATCCGCCACGTGGATGCTGGGAATCGAACCCAGGTCCTCTGTAAGAGTAGCCAGTGCTCTTAACCACTGAGTCATCTTTCCATCATCTTTAATTATTCCTTTGCATATCTTTGATCAAAACTAAAAGCACAGGAACAAGAATAGGTGGGATGGCAGAAGACAGGCAGATGGGAGTATTGCTGGCTGTTGTTACTGAACTCAACAGGACACTAGCTAATGTGTACAACAGCAGCACTGGGCTCCGGAGACAACATATGATGAGATTAGTTGAAATTGAGAGACTGAGTAAATGCTTATGATAATAAGAATAGGGATAATTAGAGAAAAAGGTATAATTATGGGAAGGATACAGTCCAGTGTCTGATTAGAATTGACGACACTGGCATAAATTCATGTTTGCTTTTTTGGACATACTTATAAACAGAAAGATACATATGCATGCAGATTTTTATATTAACTCATGTATTTCTTAGCTCTGTCAACACAATGGCCCAGGATACAGCAACACCACAATGGGATGAGCCCACTCAGTGTCATTCCCTGGTTTCCAATGTCATTCTCTACAAGAAGGAACCATACCCTTCTAAGAGAAAAAGCTATTCTAAAGCTGGGCAGGAAAAATGTCAGATAAGCCTAGCGTATCTTGCTGTGGTAATTAATGAATAAGAGAATGCTCAAAGAATGATGTGGGACCTATCAAAAGGAACAAGGAACCAGAATACAAGACTAGAGAACGGTGAGTCATACTGAATCCACAAGCCCATCCTAGTATTAGAGTAAGTACATGTGCTGGATAACTTTGGTTATCAACTTGACAGACCCAGGTAGAGGGAGCCCCAGTTGGGGAATTGCCTGCATTGGACTGGTCTGTGGCCATGCCTGTGGGGCATTTTCTTGATTTTTGAGTGATGTGGGAGGGCCCAGTCTACTGAGGGCAGTGCCACCCCTGGGCAAGTAGTCTTGTATTGTATAACAAAGTGGGCTGAGCATGGGTTGGAGGACCAAGCAAGTAAACAGCATTCCTCCAAGGCCTGTGTTTCAGCTCCTGCCTCCAGATTCCTGACCTGAGTTCCTACCTTGGGCTCCCTCAGTGACAAACTGTGACCTGGGAGATTTAGGTCAAATAAACCCTTTCCTCCCCAAGTTGGTATTTTGGTCAGAGTGTTCTATCACAGCAATTGGAGGCAAACTAGAACAGTACATAAAAAGGGGAAAAATCAGTTTCTTCTTCACAGTGGACAGCTAAATAACAAAAGTAGAAAGAAAGAATAAAAAGAAATACCATGACAGTAATAATAGGAATCAGACAATTAAAAATGGAAGCAAAAATATTTGATGACAATCTCTGAATATTTGTTTAAAAAACAGTAACTCTGTGATGGAGAAATTTGGGAGACACTATTAACTAAGTGATAAATAAATATATTAGTACTGCCAGGCAGCATGGCTCAAGTCTTTAATCCCAGCACTCAAGAAACAGAGGCAGGAGGATAATTGCAAGTTTGAGGTCAGCCTGGTCTATATACAAGTTCCAGACAAGCCAGGGCTACATAGTAAGACCCTGTCTCAAAAAGAAAACAAAAACAAAAACAGGACAAGTCAGCACTGCACATCACCTGAGAAGATGCATTAAAAAAAAATTAGTTCTTTCTTTGGTGTTCTGCTGAAAGTGTCAAACCTGAATCTGCGAAATGAAACTGAAGCATGCTTTAGAAACTACTCTGCTCTCCGCCAAAACATCAAACTCATCAGTAAATAAATAGTGCTGGCCTGCATCTTTTTGATCCTTTTTATTGGGGATACTCAAAGAAAAAAGAAAAATGACTTGGACAAATCTGGTAATCCCCCAGCAAATATACTAGTATTCTTAACTTTGGAATCTTTCTTAACCACGTGTAGTATTTAAAAGAATGATCTGTTTGCAACCGTTTGTGGTGAAGAAACCAGAAATTTATGAACCTATGAGATATCATTTTTTTAAGAATTATCATATAAATTATTGGCAAACTATAAAACAACTCTTATGGTTGAGATGGCTTCCCCTTTTGTCAAATGCACAACACAGAGAATGTGTATTAAATTTGAACCATAGCACAGGTATTAATGTTGCAAAAAAAAAAAAAAAGATACCTAGGAAGTACCACAGATAATCTCAGACTTTGTTTAAAATTATCAGGTATAAAAATTACTTTTCTGAAAATGAATCTTGTAATAAGCCTTTACAAACTGAATTTCTGCATAACCATGAAAACGAAGTTAATTATATGTTGAAAACACTTAGAACTATGAACTCCTTCTTAAACTGTGTACTCAGCTTGCTAAATATTAACAGACCTTTAAGAAAAACAATGTAATCAGTCTTACAACGCTTTGTAATCCTGAATGCTTAGCTTTAAATCTTATACCCTACTGCCTATTTGACTGAGTTATTCCTGGACTCAGAACAATGTATGTGTATGTTGTGGTAATTAGACCTAAGATCACCCAGCTGAAAGCAGAGATGAAGCTGAAAACCTTTCCCCCACAAATGTTGAAGCAACATATGGGTATAGGTTGAGGACATCTATTTATGGTTTTACATGCTGTTCTGAGTGAGTAGAGTCAGAAAAACAACTTCTTCCTTTGTAAAACTCTTATCAAAGATTGCTTATGCTGTTCCCATTCTGTTCAATGCTATTCAATAAATATGAAAGGAAGCCCTTTATTAGAATGGACAGAATAGAATATAAACAGAACACAACAGCGCAGAAGAACACACACAGATCTGAGAGAAATGAGAACACTCAGAACATATCAATCTCACTTTTAGGTCAAACAACTCCAAGAGTGAAGTTTTTCTTTAATGTAGTACCACCACAACCAGTAAAGCTTAACTAGAATTCTTTTGACTCTGAGGATCTGATTTGATAATCCATTTGTGCTATCTCATTTATGAATGGTAAGGAAAGACACAAGGACTGCTCAATATTGAAGAGATAGGTCACTTAAATTCAATGTATAATCTCAGATTCTAGACCAAAGAGGGTTTTCCTTTACAGTTTAACTATGAGGGGCATTATTGCAGCAACTGGAGAAATACAAATGGAGTCTGTGCACTAAGACATTATGGCATCAATATTAAATGTTCTAATTTTGATGGAAAAGTATTTTTAGCAACTTTAGAACTTACTACTTTGATACCTGCAACTTACTCTTAGATAGCTAAGGGGAAAAAAATCTCTATAAGAAATAATAAGGTAAATGTGGTAAAATTAGGAAATTTGAGTACTGGCTTTTTAGAAGTTCTCTTCTAGGAGTGCAAAACTTTCAACTTAAAGTAAAAAGGTGAAAAAACTGAGAGAAAATAATATGGAAAAGTAAGGAAAAGATGAGTTGTACTATGAATCAAATAATCTTGAAATACCTTTTAGATTCTGTACTACTTTCAGAAGAAGCTTGATGAAATTCTCTGCTAGAAATGGAATCTTTGAATTCTCCAATTACTGACAGGGTAATTTTACGCATGCTTCCATAAAAGAGCTGAATGTCATTGGGCCGTTGAGGAAGATCATATGCTGAAAAAGAACATGCTTTGAAACACATAAATCTTTACATAAGCGCACAAATAAATTAATTTACATATATATATATCAGTAGCAATAAAACATTATTTCAAGTATTAATACCACTGATGGGTATGAAATCACAAGCAATCTAGCATCTTCCTTCCTCTTATCTCATGCCTAGATAATAATACAAGTGACCCACAAGACTGAAGACGTTATGATTCTTACCTTCATCTATTAATAGCTCATCTTTAAATGCTTCAGCAAAGTCAATGTTTTGCAGTATACTATGTTCTGGAAGTATCTGCTTTATGATTCCTGGTTTATGCCACAGGGCTCTGCCAGAAGAGATTTTTTTGTTCAAGTGATTTAAACGTAGAGTGACTTAAATTATATTTTAATTAATGTATTTGGTAAATCCCACTAATAGCACATTACAATCATACATAGATCTTGTCTCAAGTCATAAGTACTTTTTAAAGGAAAACCTGTTTCTGAAGTTCAGCCAAAAGTTACAAATGGTAGTAAAATCAGTAGTTTCAATGATATATTAATATCAAAACAAGAACTCTAGGAGTAGAAAGATTAGATCCTTTTCAGGTCTTACATTTTCATTATTTGTGTAATTTGTCATAAAACTTTGCCTCAAGGGGAAAAAAAAGAGCATGCTAAAAAAAATGAACTAGTTAGAGCAATATTTAAGTAAACACAAAACTATTGTAGACATAAGCATCTTTCAGAGAATCTTAGCAGTGAGACATGAACTGTAAATACCTCTGTAATTCTCAAATGTTCATAACCAAAGGAGATTTCAGTACTTAAGTTTATAGCAATTAGAAGTTCTGAAACAATACATTAATTTTTATATCTCAGTAGAAAGAAAGGGGGAGGAACAAGAAACTTGGTAATCTGATTTTTCAAATGTCAGTTTTTATTCTAAAGTAATTAAGATTAAAAAGCTAGGTTTAGGTTCAAAGGATCACACATTAAGTCATCCCTCTTTAAATACCCCAATGAATCAGAAAGAAAATGATTTCCTGAATTTTGTATCAGACTAAAACACAGCAGCGCACAAAGGGCCAGATAAGTAAGAGATTGTTATACTCACCCACAACTCCCAATTGGAGTTAATTTTCTACTAGTAGACAAATTCATGAGCTTTACCTATCTTATACTTAGGTCCTCTAGTCTAAGAAATTAAATTTTATAATTAAAAAACACCCAGAATTTTAACAATGCAAATCACACTTGGAAATAGATCAATATCCTAAACTTGCCAACAGTTTGGTATAGTATATTATATATCTATTAAATGTAAAAATTTTGTAGAAGTACATATTTTTAGTATCTATAAGTTAAAGCATCCTACACATTTCTAAAATATAATGATCCTTTGAAATAATTCACAGCCTTCCCAGGAAGATTCCAAATTAATCAGGTGTGTTTATATAATCTTTCAGTGGTTCTTAAAAATTCTTTCTGAAACCAATGTATGGTCACGTGATATATCCTTTAGTACATTTAGAAATATGTACCTATTATAAATATGATGATACTATTGAGTAAAGGAAGAGAAGGATACATTCATCAAGAAAGACACAAGGCAGGAAAACACAGATGTTTCCTCCAGGAGTTTCTAACTCACATCATGCCCAACTTATCACCCATAAGCCACATGACTTACCAAGATATTTCTTTTTCAATCAGCATAGTAATAAATGAAGTTTCCAAATTATTAACTATTCCCGTTTTGACTAAACAGTCCCCGACACTGTCTAAGGCAAGTACTCTACCTTCGATACTGTTGTCTGGAAATTTCATCGCCACCAAAGAAGTATATAGTTGACAGTTCTGTTGCAGTTTTATAATCATTCTTTCTGTTTGATGGGTTGTATATTAAAGTAACATCCTGATGCAAAAAAAAAAAAAAATCAGTAGTAAATATTAAATATTTTTCCTCAGTAAGTCATCTGATTCTGGATAAACATTATTACACAATTAGAAAGAGTCAATACTGACACAAGTATAAATGTAGGGCACTTTCCAAATATTATTTTAGCTGTTGGCCATAAAATACATAATAATATTAAATCTAGGGCTGGAGAGATGGCTCAGCAGTTAAGAGCACTGACTTCTTGCAGAAGACCCAGGTTCGAATCCCAGCACCCACATGGAAGCTAACAACTGCCCATAACTCTAGTTCCAGGGAATCCAACAGCCTCTTTTGTCCTCCGCAAGCATTTGCACAACACGGATGCACTTACCTACATGAAGGCATAACACTCATACATGTAAAATGAAATAAAAATAAATAAAAATATTTAAAATTAAAAAAAATTAAATCTGAATATGACTTCACTTTATTTAAACTTAAAAAATTATTTTATTTATTATTTTTATTTTACGTGTATGAGTGTATTGCCTGCATGTAAGTAAGCGCACCTGTGTCGTGCAATGCTGCAGAGGTCAGAAGAGGGTTTTGGATTCCCTTGGAACTGGAGTTACGGACAGTTGTTAGCTGCCATGTGGGTGCTGGGAACCAAACCCGGGTCCTCTGCAAGAGCAGTCAGTGCTCTTAACTGCTAAGCCATCTCTCCAGCCCTGTGACTTCATTTTTCAAAAATTATTTTTACTTGATGTGTATAAGTGTATTATCTGCATGTATATAAGTGCACCTGTGTTGTGCAATGTCCACAGAGGTCAGAAGAAGGTGTTGGATCCCCTGAAACTGGAAGTTAGGACAGTTGTTAGCTGCCATGTGGGTGCTGGGAATTAAACCTGGGTCCTCTGCAAGAGCAGCCAGTGTTCTTAACTGCTGAGCCATCTCTCCAGCCTGTGACTTCATTATTTTAGGGCAGAGATCTTATACTTACTTCTTGTGTTCTCTCCTTGAGTACAAATTTATCTGGAAAAATCCTCAATACTTTAGGATCCAGCAAAACTCTTTTCTGAGAATCCTTAAACCCGACTGCTTTAACAAAAGCTGCTCGAGAGCCAGTGTTGCGGATAGAAAAAACAACTTTACTTTCTTTGCCAGGAATTAAGCCAGCCACTGTTACCAAGTAACTGTCAGATAATTTTTTAACATCTTCTAAAATAAGATTACTCGTTCCTCCATATCCAGACAAAGGTATCTTAAAAAAAACAAAACAAAACAAAAAAACAGCCAAAATTATTTTTGTATAGGAAAGAAGATTTAATTACAATCAGAATAAAACATAGATTTAATATCATTAAAATTTTTGTGTTTATATCCTTGGGCTAGTAGTAACCTGACTTCAAGTCCACCATTATAGAAAGACCTTTTTAAGGGAAATACAAATAAATACAAGCACGTCGAAAGTGCTTACCTTTTAATATGTAAAGAACAATCATTTCCTGTCACATATGTCACATAAGCCAAGCTCAGCAGAAGAACAAAAATTAGCATAAATATGCCTGCATAAATTTAAGGTGAAGCATACGCTCATAAGTTATTTTGAAATGCCTTAAAACACAAACGAAGTGGTAAATGGGCAGGTATGTGGTAAAAGAAATATAGCAAAACAAATTGTAGAATCTCAGGGGTGATTTTTTTTTTTTTCAACTTTTCAGTAATTTGAAAAACTTGCATAACAGAAAGCTTAGAAGAAAAAGAAAATCTGTCATCATACAATCTTTGTAAAGCCAATGTCAAAGAGAAACTTGCAAAACTACTAAACTGTGGTCAAGTACTCAAAAAATTCTCCAGGCTCACGCAAATCAGAAATGTAGAAGCCACAGATTGGAGCCAGGATATAAAGCTCTTGCCACATAAGCATAATGACTGGATTTCAGATCCACCTGTAATCCAGTACTTGGGAAGTGGAAATGGGAAGTCCTGGGGCAAGCTGGCTACCTAGAATAGCCAAAACAACATTTTTAAGGTTCATAGAGACCCAGTTTTACTTAGTAAATAAAGTAGAAAGCAACTGAAGAAGACACCCTACATCAACCTCTGGCCTCCATGTGCACACACATGCATGCACTCATACACAGATGTGCACACCATACATACCCATGCATACTAAAAAACAACAATAACAAAAAACTATTAAATAAAACTACCCTGACTTAATGCCAAAAGGTCCAGAGATTCATTGGGAAAAAAACTATTGCCCTAGAGAAGGATTTCTTAAGCTCAATACTATTGACATTTTTAGCTGGATTTGTTGTGGCAGGGGCTGTCCTGCATTGCAGGATACGAGGCAGCAACTGGCAGCAGCAACTGGCAGATATCTGTAACACTCTTGTTCTAACCCCAATTAAGACAATCAAGCTGTCTCCAGATACTGCTGAGAATCCCCTGGGAGTAGCACAGCCTCTTCTTAAGAACCATTACTCTTAAAGACTACAAAACAGAGTTGTCACAGGTTCTAAAAGTGACCACAGGTTTTCAAACAATTTTGCCTACCATGGGGCCAATTAAGTGGCTCCACAGAGAAAAGGTTAACTTCCATGTCAAAGAAATCTACCTCAGTCAATCTAGTAATTTATCATATTTCTATTTGACACTAAAAATAGAACCAAAATTTCAGCTCCAGTCTCACTGCCAGGGTAATGCGCAGTTTGAAGGTGTTCATTTCTACGAGCTGGAATGTCACTTACCTATGTTGTACCTATTTCCTTTCCTCAGTTATCCTTTTCATCTAGTTTTTCTGGCATCTATATAACACGCTTTAAGTTCTTTTTTAAAGTAGTACTAAGAATAAACAAAATATAAAAATGCTTGTCTTTATAGTCCCAATATCTGGAACAGAGTCTAGTAAATTCTGTAAGGGATATTTGCTAAAATCTGGAAGTTAGTGTCTCACAAATTCCATATATTGTAACAATCCCCAAACTGAAATGAAATTTTAAAGCATTATAAAAGATTGGTGATTATGGGAATATCACAATGGTTGTAGGGTTTTAAAAATATTTTATTATTTTTATTTTATGTATATGAGTGTATTGCCTGCATGTGTTTAAGTGCACCCTCCGTGGGGAGGTCAAAAGAGGGCAGCCCCTGGAACTGGTGTTGTAGATGGTTGTTAGCCACCATGTGGGTACTGGGAATCAAACCTGGGTACTCTGCAAGAGCACCAGGGCTCTTAACCACTAAACCATCTCTCCAGTCCCCCACAATGGTTAGTTTTAACAACTTGATAATTATTCTGTAACTTGTTTTAAGTCTAGAACTTATAAAAAGTAGAGTATATAATTTGTCAACATAAAAGCAATAGTTATAACTTATTATGAACTTCAAAAAAGAATTATGAAAAAAGAATTTATCTTACCATAAACTTAATGCCTGGCTGTGATCGATTTCCAAGTTGTTTGATTTCTAGTTTAGCCAACATACAAGATAATCGAGTAGGTGCAAATAACACAGAGATTATGTAGTCCTCTTCTGGGTGAATTCTGATCTCACAGTTACTGGTCAGTCTGTCTTCTGAGCCGAAAGTGTTCTGAAGCTACAATTAAAAACAGTAACTACATAAACCCAAACACTAGAACAAATAAAACAGTTGGTCTGGCTAGGGATGCAGCTCATCCCTTACCTAGCAAGGCCCTTGCCTAGCATGTAGTTCCATCCCCAGCACAAAACACAAAAACAAAACAACTGGTCTACATATATTGATCATTCTGGACTCAGAAAAAACATCAAGAGAAGCCATGTGTGATGCTATAGGCCTATGAAAGACAATAGGCTCATCATGAGTTCAAGGCCAGCCTAGGCTCCACAGTTGAGACCCTGTATCAAATATAATGAAACAATGAAAAATTTTTTTAAATCACACCGTGTAAGAGACTGTGCACTGTACAAACCTGAAAGCAATCCTGATCTTGTCCTTTAATATGGAGTCGCAAGTGTTGGGTTGCAGATGTAGAACTGTTTCTTAAAGCTAGTTTCTGAAGTCTAAAAACAATGACATATTTTAAAGTTTTTTTTCATAGATATTGCTATAATGATAAAAAAACAAAGCCAACTAAAACTGACCACAAAATCTGAAGATGGACTGATTGCACATTTGACCTTAATAGGCAAGAATAATCTCTCCACAATCATTTCCAAAAACTAAAGGCTTAAGAATCTTTTTTGATGAAAGTCTGTGTAGGTTTGTTATGATATATAAAGGATGAGACAAAAATAATACACACATAATCTTAAAATTTCCAAGGTCATAGTTTAGTCACTAGTTTAAGGGAAAAAAAATATATATCTAGTCAAGGTTTATCTGAGACTGTTTGGTTTTTCACCAAAGCTTTATCTACATAGCACAGGGTAATTAAAAATACCAGGCTGGTGGAACTAACTTCCCTGGATGTTTAACAGCCATACTTTGAGGCCTATACTAATCTGGTCAGAGGGACTTAAAGGAAAGTATTTGCCCCTTGTCCTCCAAGGTTGACTAAGTCCCAGAGGACTATGGAACATCTCTCAAAATATCCTGTAACAGTGGTGAGTCACCTGTCCTTTTGTTCAGGGAGGCCATGGAGACCCCACGAGATGGACTTGAACCAGTATCCAGACTACAAAGGGGAGGGTCAACTCAGAGGAAACATTTCCTCCATGCTTCCAAGTGAAGCCAGCCATGGTTGAGTGGGACCTCTGACTTATCTTCACATGATGGAACTGGTAAAAGAAAGGAGCCAGGAGTTCCTCCCAAGCCCATGTGACCCAAGAACAGATCGTAAATGTAAATATAAATTGATTTATTTGGGCCAACTGTATGGTCTTAAACACCCAAAGGAAAGTATAAGCAAAGAGTAAAGTGATCAGTATGGTTCTTTAAGAGTTCATGGGATTACACTTCTCGGACATTAGGCTTAAGTCCATATTAAAAAAAAAATACTTATTTAGACAAGTATTTCTCATTGATGATTTTGTTCTGAAACAGAAAGTGCTGCTCAGATGTAAGACTTTAAATCTTGGTCTGTAATACTGTAGTGCCCACCTATAGCTAAGGGAGACAACCCACTATTGTTCTAAAATGATGGCCAAATTTGTTTTCTCCCCCTATCAAGAAGCCTTTGAGAGGGAACTGATAATGATTCTAACCACTACAACAGCTATCAAAATGCCTGAAAGCAAATCCTGAATCTATCACTCTCAAGTCCAACCTTGGCAGACAAAAGAAAAATGAGGAGGAACCCAATAGAAGGAATGCTTGTGGAAGCGCCTGTCAAGAAATTCCAATGGATTCTCATATGGACATTTGAAATTTCCCATTCTGACTTTTTTCTAGTTCCCTACCTAGAACTTGTAATGCTCATTACTCTTGCCTTTACTTTTCCTTCACATCTCCTATTCACCAGTTAAGGACTTTCTTTTCCCCCTACAGATAAGAGTTATGCAATTTGGGAGTCTTTTAGATAGGCCCACTGAAGGGGTACCCCAGTTGCCTCACTCTGCATCCCTGTTCAGCATGGAATAAGCCAGAGCGGTCTGTGTCCCAATTCCCTATCCACAAGGTGGGTAACCACTTCAGAGGATGGTGTGACAAGAATAGGAGGTAGGAATTGGCTAGGCAGTTAGTGTAAAAAGACCCCAAAGAAATGTAGACAGTTTCTTGGCTAAAAGTCAAAATGTCCTTGGGTCTCTTAGCAACATAACTCTGTTCCAAAAGGCCAAAAATGTCAAAAGTATTTGGGAGCATTTATCTAATCCCTGAAAGATTTTATGGTTACCTCTTCAGAGGGGAGAATGTTAGAGTAGCAAAAAGCCCCATAAAAAAATAAAAAGAGGAGGAGGAGCTGGAGAGATGGCTCAGTGGTTAAGAACACTGACTGTTCTTGCAGAAGACCTGGGTTTGAATCCCAGCACCCAGATGGTAGCTAACAACTGTCCTTAACTCCAGTTCCAGGGGATCCAACAGCCTCTTCTTTCCTCCATAGGCATTGCACGACAAGGGTGCACTTACCTACAGGCAGGCAATACATGCATATACATAAAATGAAAATAATAAGCCGGGCACGCCTTTGATTCCAGCACTCGGGAGGCAGAGGCAGGAGATCTCTGTGAGTTCAAAGCTAGTCCGTCTACATAGTGAGTTCCAGGACAGCTGGGGCTACAGAGAGACCCTGTCTCAAAAAGACCAAAAAATAGTAATAATAAATAACTCTCATGAAGTGGAGGGCTCACGCAGGTAAACACAATTCTCTTTTCTCCCCTGCCCCCTGATTATTACCCTTTTTCCTCTAGACAATTTTACTTTTGCTTTAATTGTGTGTGTATGCACATTTATATTGTTTTATATGACTATATAGAATACAAAGACCACAAATAAGGACAAGCACACAATATTGGTATTTTTGAGATGGCTAATTGTTTGTTTCCTTGCTTTTTGAGATAGTATCTCCCTGTAGCCCCAGCTGGCCTGGAACTTGCAGAGATCTGCCTGCCTCTGCCAAGTGCTGGGATTAAAGGCATGTGGCTTTTTAAGAATCATCTTAACAGAGCATTTTTTTAAGTATCTCTCCTATCGGATCTTCTCAGTTGCAGAGTAATACAAGCTCTCTCTCTCTCTCTCTCTCTCTCTCTCTCTCTCTCTCTCTCTCTCTCCAGAGAGATGATGGTGCACCCTTTAATCCCACCACTCAGGAGGCAGAGGCAGGATGCTGAGGCAGATCTCTGTGAGTTTGAGGCAAGCCTGGTCTATATAAGGAGTTATAGGCCAGCCAGGGCTACATAGTGAGACATTATCTCAAGAAACTAAAACAACAGCCCCAGGTTCAAGTTCAGTGCTTTGAAAGTATTAAATAAGAAATAAAACCAGCTACTCCTTGGCTAAGTAGGACTTGCCATGTATATGACCAGGAAGGAGTGTCTCAGGCAGAAAACAAAGGCCTAAGAATGAGACAGCTCTCCTGCTGAGGTGATCGGTGACTGTCCTGCTCTATGACTTACTTTGAGGAAAATCTTGTCACCCAGGTATGATTTAAGTCCAGTGTGGAGTCAGAAGTGCTTTCTGGTGAGCACACAGCTCATGTAGCTTCACCCTTCAACACATTCCAATCCTGATTCTATTTCAACTGACTGCCAAAGCACAGGACACATATAACCAACACAGGAGCAACTGAAGAGGGATCATTAGTTCAAACTCAGTATTTCTCAAAAGCCTAGCCAAGAGATATGTTTAAAGAGTGGTGTTTAAAGAACACACATAGTCTATCTATTCTTCTAAAGGGCTTGAATTATCTCAAATCATCACATGGACTTGGCAAACTCAGAAAGGTGATTTTGCTATACCATGCATGAGAGTCCTACATCTACCCAAGTCACAGGAAAGCATCAAAAAACAAAGTTCAAGGAACTGGGATGTAATTATTACTTGGAGGGTTATTTTTCTTTGAGTCACTGTATTATACAAATTGTCTTTAAAAGGATCCCTGGAAGCTGGACCTCTCAAAAATCTTTAGCAGTAACAAGTCAGTCCACTTATATTATGATCTGAATGTAAATGTTCCCCACAGGCTTATATTTCTGAATACTTGTTACCCAGGTGGTAATGCTGTCTTGAGAAACAATAGAACCTTTAAGAAGTGAGGCCAAGATGGAGAAGCAGGTTACTGGGGGTGTGACTGGGGGGTACAGTATCTCTGGCTCCTTCATGTAAGGTTTACTCTTTCCTTATTTGGCTGCTATGCAAAGAATACTACCATATGCTTCTGCCACCCATAGTAGACGATATACTCTTGAACCTATAAGCCAAAATAAACTTCTTTAAATTGTCCATGCCAGGTATTTTGGTCACAATGAGAAAAATAACAAAAAAATTAGTACTGAGAAACAGTGTTGTTACTATGACAAACCTATGTGGTTTGTAGACCTTTGGAATGATTATGGGAAGAATGTGAAAAAGTTGGGAGCTATAGACTAGAGAAGTCCTAGAATTCTATATGTAAGCAGAACTTAATATGCCATTCTGATGGGAACACTGACAGAAATACAGGTAGTTAAGACTGTGCTCCAAAGAAGAACAAGAGCCCTGGTGGAATTGAGCTAAGGGTCATTAGCAAAGTATCTGGCTGTTCTACACATGCCCTGATTTAAGCAAGGCTGAATTCAAGTAATGGATTAATTTGTTTAGTAGAGGAAGTTTCAAGACAGCATACCATGCAGGCTTCAGCATGGTTATTACTGGATGTTTTTAATCAGATTGAGAGAGCATTCAGAGCAAAAAACACAGCAGAAAGATGTGGAAAATGCACACCTGCAGAGGGTACTCCGTCGTGACACCCTGCCACAATAGACTATACACTATGAAACATGAGCCATAATAAACCTCTTCTACCTCTTCTAAGTTGAGCTGTTGGACTAACAGAACTGATGGTATGGCCTTCTTTACAGGGCTGAGCAGAACCATCCATACTAGATACAGATCCATGTTGAAGCAAGAATCAAGGGCACAGGGTCTAAAGCAGGCATTCAAGGTGACTCCTATGGTCTCATTCCTCACCAAAATCAATTCCCATTCAACTGTCCTTATCTTACTGTGTCTTTTTGAAAACTGATTTTGGAATGAGACAAGGTAATGAGAACCAAACACATGAATAGCTAAGCAGATGGATGAACTCCATAAAGGAGATGAATCAAGATTCTTTTAGAACAAAACTATACCTTTAAATATGTGATTTCATCATACCTGTGGTAGAGATTCAACCAAATTTCCTCTTTCAAGTACCACAGAAATGTATGGGTAAACATTTAGGACAGACAAAAAAGCACAACATAAGAAAAGAATAAACATTGAGGTTTATCAATGACCTAGACTGTATAATCAGAAGCATCTACTGACTTTTAAGTTCACACACACACACACACAAACACACACACACACACACACACACACACACACACACACACACACACACACACGTGGTATAAGCCTTTAATCCCAGAACTCAGAAAGCAAAGGCAGGTAGACCTCTTTAAGATCAAGGCCAGCCTGGTCTACATGGAGCTCCAGGCCAGCTGTGGCTACAGGGAGACCCTGTCTCAAAAAGATTAAAAAAAAGAAAAAAAAAGATATTTTAAATTAAAATGAATTTAAGTTCATCATACAGAGATTAAGCAAATATCTTTAGGTCAAATCTAACAAGAAAATGCACTCATATTTAACACCTGAGAGAATAACATTAGGTAATTAGACAATATTTCAGCACTACTGAGCTGTTATGTGGATACTTACTGTGTTCTGCCAAGAGGGACACCTCCCCAAGTCAGAAATTGCTTATTAGACAAAATCAGTGGGATATCTGAACAGTAGGGTGCAGGTGGCAGAGGCTTACTTCCAGAAGAAATGACTTCACCCTTTAACACTACTTCATACTGAGGTCCAAAAGGCTGCACAAATATTTTCAAAATCCTAACCAAGAAGAAAATGACCCATATTTAGTTCTTTTGGCAATTATTTCCTATGCACTCCCTCTGTCCAAGAGACTGAGTTGGTAATAAAAACATAATATTCCCAACCCAACAGCTTATGTTCCAGGGAAAAAGTACACACAATGGACATGATAATCACAATAACAACTATGTGACAGGACAAGAGAAGTTTCACAGTGCTGTGAGAATACTATTTATTCATAGAGGAATCTGAGAAGAGTTGAGGGTTGTAGAAGGAGTTGGCACAGGCTGAGGGTAAAATCTTTGAGCACAAATACTCACACTAGCATATCTTTTTGGGTAGGACTCTAGTAACAGGCTAGCTAGACTTAAGCATTCTGCTGCACTCCATGCTAGCGATAGGCTAGGGGTGGCTCTGAGGCATGCTTTAAGCTACATTTATGTACGTAAGTTCAAATATGAACAACAATGGTATTCTGACTAAAAACTGCTATTTACTTATGAATTAGGTATTAAAAAATCACAGGCCTGGGAGGAGAGCTGAGGAAGAACCATAAATTAATAAATAAAAAAGCCAAGTAAAGATTTGCTGGCAGAAAGAAAAACGGTTAATGAGATAATAATTTATGCCTGATTGTTTGCTTTAGTCAAAATATACTAAAAAAGAAGAAAAAAAATCAATTTCTTAACTTGGATTCAGTTGGTTTAGAAGAAGAGAGATTTTACTATCAAAAAAGAAATTATGGGCAAGATGACTCAGCGGGTACAAACACTTGCTGAGCAAGTCTGAGGGCTTACATTTCATTCCTAAAACCCATGATAAAAAGAGAAGCAACTGCTGCAAGGTATCCTCTGTCCAAACACCTATGTACCATGGCATGTGCATGCCCTCACTCATACATATAATGAATAAAAAATAAACTATACACACACAGACACACACAAAGATTAAAAGACAACTATATAGCATATTAGGTGAGGTATAGGTAACTTACATATCTAGGCTATGAGTGAAAAACAGCTAAGCAAAGTGGCTATTTTTAGAGACTAGTAAAGACTTGTCATTCTAAATACTTTCATGTTACCTTTCCTCACGTGCTTTGGGATCCTTTGGTGTAAATGAAACTATAACCTCATGTTCTTCTCCAGGTTTGAGGAAGAGACTCTCTGGATCCACGGAAAACTGACTTCCTTGTTCTGCAACCTACGTAATCACATAATCATGACGTAACTGAGTGCAACTCCCCCACAGGCTTCTTGTCTTAGTACCTTTCTCATTAACTAGGATTGTTGTTTGTTCTTTCCTCCTGTCCATCACTATTCCAGCTTGTTTTACTCAATAAAAATAAACAAAGGACACTTCAAAAGGACATTTCTTTCTCCCTCCTCCTCCACTTCAAACTTGTTGCCAATTCTTGATAACTACCACTCTCTTACCCAGGATCTCAGAAATAAAATCTACATATGCAGACCACTCTTCTTCAGTTCTACCTAGCCACAGATGACACACAACTATTTGAGAGCTTGGTGCTTATATTCAAAGTATTCATTCACTACAGCATATATTTCAGGCTAGTGTGACCCCACGTTTCACAAAACTCTTGATAATTGTTTAGTTAAATCCTTATAGCATCCTGTCAAGGTTGGCAGCACAGCAGCCATCAGAAGGTCAGGGACAGAGATTGCAAAACTCACGAGAAATTCTTACCTTGATATCTAAATAAACTTCAATATTCCCAGCATTTTTCAAAGGCAAGTGCTGCTTTGTTGAGGAGTTTATGCTGGCCAACAAATGCACAGTCTAGAGGGGAGGGCAAACATGCATTTAAAAAACTGTCACAATTAAAGTAAATCAACCTGAACACAAAAGAGCAGCAAATGATGAAGGTACCTGCAAGTCCCTAGGAGCATGAATTCTAGCTGTTCCTGCTCTTGCTCGGAGATCCACACTCCTAAGAACTGGGATAGGGTTTGGGCTGTCAACTTCTATATCCACTCTAGCCAGGAACTCTTCAGGTGAGCCTAGAATTTCTATACAAGTTCACTCTTTTAGTTCAGAAAACAGATATTTAATCCCAAATTTCACCAGTAGTCCAAGAGAATGCTCTTAGGGTATCAAAAGAAAATTCAGTATCCACTGAGCTGTCTTAATGGGTAAAACCTTGCCATGTAGCTTTTTTTTCTGAAGACTCCAGAACCAATGTAAAATTGGAAGGAGAGAACCAACTTCACACATTGTCCTGTGACCTCCAAGTGCATGCCCATATGCACACAATAAGAATAAACAAATTTTAAGCCAGGTATGGTGGCACACGCCTTTAGTTCCAGCACTTGGAAGGCAGAGGCAGGCAGATCTCTGTGAGTTCAAGGCCAGCCTGGTCTACATAGTGAGTTCTAGGTCAGCTGGGGCTATAGGGAGACCCTGTCACAAAGAGACCAAAAATAAAAAAAAAATAAAATAAACAAATTTTAAATGAAAATTCGGGCAAGACTTTTGAAACAACTGAAAGAGGAATAGAAATGATTGGAGAGACAAGAGAAAACAGGTTTTTCCTGACTTGCTTGGATTTACCTACACTTACATGAGTCTGACTCAAAATATCATGGCATTTTCCAAACCTGTCCCATTTTCCAAACAAGATAAAATTATTGAAAAATTACCCTAAATATTTTCATTTAATTATTTTAAATTAAAAAATTTAAATTATTTTAAATTTTCAGTTAACTAAATAGTAGGGTAATTCCCCCAAAATATAAATGATACCTGAAGAAGTGATGATTTTCTTTGGACTACAGAAAAGAACCCAAATTATCAGAAATTCTGGATCCTATGAAATGAAAAACAAATTTTTTAATGCATGCTGATATTAAGACTGAAATCTCAATGAGACAAAAGCAGTTTGGAAATATCCTCAATTCTAAGCCAATTTTTTTACTGGCCCAGCTTACCTGGTCATCTTGACTGGCAGGCATCACATGGCTGATTACAGATGGGGTCACAAGCTGAGCAATCACATCAGCATAAGGAGCAGTTTTCAGGGAAGCATGAATGGGCTCCTTGGAAAATGTGAAGCAACGCCAGGCTAAGGCATTCTGTTCAGAAACAAGACAACTAATTTCAACCAAGTCACAGTGTTACATTAAATTTGTTAACACGTTCCTTAACAATATACTTTCGTTAAGGAAAATTAACCAAGAATATTAGCAGTGCCTACTATTTCAAATCAATATATTCTATAGGTAGTCTCTTATTCTAGGTTAGTACTTACAGCATTAATAATCAGTCTGATCGGCACAGTAGCATGCGTCCTATTTATTAACTTCAGTGGGAGAGCCTTCCAGCCTTCATAAGTCAAGTCACCAAAATCAAGAACACCTTTCTTTTCTGTTTCTACCTAAGTGGGAAAAAAGGACTGACTTATAAAGAGCAATGTATTAATAGCTTATGTGCATAGAACTGCTTCTTTTAACCATGAGTTAAGAGTCAGCATTACAGGTAAACTCAGACCTAAGTTTTCTCTCTCTTTTTCTGAGACAGGGTCTCACTATATAGCTCTGGATGGCCTGAAACTCGCTGTGTAGCCCAGACAAGCCTCAAACTCACAGAGATCCCCTTAGCTCTGCCTTGAAAGTGCTGGGATTAAAGGTGTGCCACCACTATGCTCAGCTTCTCATTCTACTTTAAATTTTTTATTTTCTATAAAAGTAAATATTAAAGTCTTCTTTTAAGGTAGTTCATGTAGCCCAATATAATTTAGAATAAAGCAAAGCAGTTGCTACCACTTTGAAAAAATTAGATCTTAAGATGAAACCAACAACTTTATAAAACAAAATAAATTGAATTGATTCTATCATTAGAATACACTGGCATGAAGATACTGGTATATTTCAGATTCAGTCTGATACACTAAGAATATTTAAAATCATGTAAAAAATGAACATATAGGGGGCTGGAGAGATGGCTCAGCAGTTAAGAACACTAATTGCTCTTTCAGAGGAGCCAGGTTCAGTTTCCAGCACCCACATGGCAGTTAACTCCAGTTCCAGGGGATCTGATGTCCTCCTGTGGCCGCCACAGGCACTGCATGCATGGGTGCACTTAAAAAACACGCAGGCCACTCATACATATCAAATTAAAATAAAATTTAAAAACAGGCATATCAAGCTGGGTGTGGGGCACACACCTTTAGTCCTGCCACTTAAAGGCAGAGATAGGTGGATCATCGTGAGACTGTGAGAGCGAGGCCAGCCTGGGATGGTCCACATAGCAAACTCCAGGCCAGCTGGGGCTACCCAGTGAGAGTCTGTCTCCAAAAACAAGACATATTGGAAGTTTAAAACAAGTACCTACTATATGACAGACAGATATAGCTTTAAACAATGGTGAGAAACCGAACAGACCCTCATACATGTGAAATTTTGTACATTTAAAATACATGATCTTTTTTTTTTTGATAGTTTAGAAAAATCAAAGGTAGATCAAGTGGGAGCTGACCTCCAAATGGCCCATGATGGTCAAGGATCAAGATTAACTTCCCAAGTCACTGAGCTTTGATGCTCCCTGAAGGTATTATACTTCAAACTTGTGGACAGGGCAAGGCTGGAATGGAATATAAACTCTATGTATAACGTCCTGAAATCCAAAGTGCCCTTTTTAGAAATGAAAAGAAACCTGGAAAAACCCTGTCCCCTAGCTCAACAACAGGGAGCCTGCCCAGGGTTGGTACATATGGAAAGAGTGTAAGAACATGAGAGCCTGATGCTGGGCCACAGCAAACACGGAGCTCCAGTTGAGACTCACAGGAGTCCTTCAAACCTTCTTGCATTTCTGCATTCCTGCAACATGCTCTCTAGGGGACCAAGACATATGAAAAGGAAGAAACATTTTGGCTGTACTTTTAACAGATCTTATAATGATTAGATGTTAAAGAGATCAAACTCAAACCAGGCATGGTGGTGCATGTCTTTAATCCCAGCACTTGGGAGGCAGAGGCTGGCGGATCTCTGTGAGTTCAAGGCCAGCCTGGTCTACATAGTGAGTTCCAGGACAGCTGGGGCTACAGGGAGGACCTATCTCAAAAAGACCAAAAAAAAAAAAAAAAAAAAAAGAGAGAGAGAGAGATTGAAGTCAGTAACAAAGTAAGGATAGCATAGAATGGCCCAGTTCCTCTAAGAAGACAAATACTACCTGGCCTGGTTTACACTGACTACATCTTACTACATTGTATGACAGTCTTTTAAACTCAAAGCTCAGACATAGACATCACTATTTCTGTATGGGACTCAATGCCCCATGCTGCTGCAAAGTATCACTAATGTAAGTCACTCATGACATGGCAACTTCAAATATTGTACAGTCATGATTTTTCATATCTGCTAGAGACATTTTTTGTTGTTACAACTAGGGAAAAAGTCATTACTAGTTCTAATGGATAGAAGCCAAGAGAAAAGCTGAACGTTCTACAATGCCCAAGATAGAATCTAACTCTTGAATAATTTTTGAGCCCAAAATATCCATAATATTAAAGTTAAAAACCCAGAATTTAAAAATGGCAAGCATAGCAGAGCTGATGAAGTACATGAGAATGTTTACAAGTCCCACTTCCTCCTCTTGCCCTAGAAAACGAACTGCCAAATGAATTCCCTTGGGAAATGAACACTGGGAAATCCCTGGATGATTCTCCTCAGCCTCCTGGGGTAACTGCCTGGACCTTCATTCACTAAACTCCAGCTCTTGTAATGTACAGTGGTAGCCTTTGTCAAATTAAATGATGAAAAAGACAAATTAACTGAGAGCCACTGTCCTGAACAGGCACATCATCTAATGAGTGCTTATTATCCCAAAGTGGGTGGATGGATGGATGGGTGGATAGACAGAGATGGAAAAAGAGAAGAACAAACAAACAAACCATGGGAACTTTCCTGTCTATCTAGTTCTACAAGAGAAATTATCAGAAAGTTTTTATACTTTATAAACATCTTAGTAAGTATATTTATAGTTTCTGATTTAAAAAAAAAACAAACTAATTTCAAATCTTGGAATAAGCAGGTATGAAGGCCGGCTGGTCAGATGGCTCAGTGATCAACAGTACTTGCTGCTCTTCCACAGGACCAAGGTTTGGTTGCCAGCACCACAGGGTGGCTCACCATCATCTAAAACTCCATTCCAAGGAGTCCAACTCCCTCGTCTAACCTCCATGGGTACGAGACATGCACGTGGTACACATACATACATACACACAGGCAACATTCATACATGGAGACAAATACTCATATACATAAAATAAAAATTAATCTTTAAAAAAAAAGATATTAAGAGTCAGGGTGTGGTGACAGACATCTTTAATCCCAGCACCCAGGAGGCAGAGGCAGGCAAATCTCTATGAGTTCGATGTCAGCCTAGTCTACATAGTGAGACTCTGTCTTGAAAGAAAGGAAGAAAAAAAAGATAAGGTTAAGAAATTAGATCTACCCACAAATCCATCTTTTTCCCAAATATCACTTCCAAAATTAAACAGTTGTTTTTATTAAAATGAGAAGAACGGGGCTAGAGAGCTGGTGCAGCCGTTAAAGGCTCAGGCTCACAACCATGAGAAGAATGGGGCTAGAGGGGTTAGACAGATGGCTCAGTAGTTAAGAGCACTGGCTGCTCTTCCAAAGACCCAGGTACTGTTTTGAGAATCACATAGCTAACAACCATCCATAACTCCTGTTCCAGGGGATCTGACCCCCTCTTCTGGCCTCTGGGAACTGCATGTACAGGTATACTTACTAACATGTAGGTAAAACATTCACACACATAAAATAAAATTTAAAAAAAATTTTTTTTTAAACAACAGGGTTGGAGAGATGGCTCTGCTATTAAGAATACTGGCTGTTCTTACAGAGGACCCAGATTAGATTCCTAGCACCCATGGAGGCTAACAACCACCTGTAATTCCAGTTCCAGAGGACTCAATGCCGCTTCTGGCCTCTGCAGGCACTGCAAGCATAGTTGCACTTACATACATGTAGGCAAAACACACACACACACACACACACACACACACACACACACACACACACACGCACACGTGTAAATTTTAAAAAATGAATAAATAAAATGACAAGGACTCATTTACAAATAGTTACCTCAATAACAGGAGTCTCAGCAATAGCCGTGAGAACAACTCTGCTTCCCAAAGCTTCTGCTTGCACTATTGTCTCAGCATCTGCTGAAAATGGCCAAGAAGCAACACTAAACATGCATCTGAAAATCCCAGAATTTGAGGGTATAAAAAGTATTTTTATTTCCTCTGTGGCATGAGGTCTTATGACAATTTTATTCTTGAAAACTAAACAAGGGTATGTTGAAAGATCAACCTGTAAATTAAGAGTAAGACATTTTATTAGAAATGGCTTTACCTTGAAAATCAAGGCTAATCATCTAGTTTAAGACTCCTTTTCCCCCAATCACTCAAACTATGAAACCTAGACATTTATTACCTATTCAAAAATACCCATATCTGGCTCAGCATTAAGAAAACTTACTGCTCTCTCAGAGGATCAGGTTCAGTTCCCAAAACCCACATGTTGGCTAACATCTGTCCTTGACTCCAGTTCTAGGGGATCCAACAGCCTTTTCTAGCCTCCTCAGGCATTGCATGACAGAGATGCACTTACATATATGCAGGCAAAGCACTCATTCACATAAAATAAAAATAAAGATATTTTAAAAGTCCAAATCCTGCCACATGTGGTAGTACACACCTTTATTCCCAGCAACCCAAGAGGCAGAGACAGGACGATCTCTATGAGTTTGAGCCTGTATGATCTACAAAGCGAGTTCCATAATGAGACCCTTGTCTCAGAAAACAAACAAAATACCCCAATCTTGTAACTAATTTCAAAGGTACAATTAGTCAAAAGGCTTTTTGAGGACTGGTAAGATAATTTAGCAGGTAAAGATACTTGCTGCCAAGCCTGACCACCTGAGTCTCACCCCTGGAACTCACATGTGGAAAGAAAACCTATTTCCATAAGCTATCCTCTGAGCTCCACACCTGAGCATGCCCTCACCCCCACAAAATTACAAAATTTATTCTCACTACGTAAGGACCGTGTCCATATTTACCTATACCTTCACTTTTCCATAAAAAAAGCACTGGACACAGAAGTCCTTCACAGCTCCAGATATCTGTCTAAGTTATGTTTTTTATTTCTACACAATAATCTGGGGTACAAAGTTAAAGTTTACCTTCTACCTAAAATCCTTTCTTCCAATTAATTTTCACCTAACATAATGATCTGATAACAGATGGGAAAGAGAGGAAAATAAGAGACAGTAGTGATGGTTAATATTAACTGGTAACTACAAAATCTCCAGTCACTTGAGAGATGGGCCTCTAGACCTGTCTGTGGAGGGGATTCTCTTGATTGCCTTTTCTGAAGTGAGACGACCCAGCCATTGTGGGTGGTGCCATTCCCTGCCTGGGATCCCAGACTATGTAAGCAGGGAAAGGGCATGGAGCAGCAGCATACAACTAATGCTCTTTGCTTGCCAATTATGGATGCGATATGGCCAGATGCTTCAAGCCCTTGCTGCCTTGACTTCCCTGCCATTAAGGAGTATATACCTTTGAACTATGAACCAGAATAAACCCTTTCTCTATTAAGATGGTTTTGCCAGAGTATTTTATCACAGCAACAGGAAAAGAAACTAAGAGACAATCTCATTTTACCATGTATAAGGAACCTAGGAGGAAAAGGGAAGTAAAACCACCCACCAATGCTGGATAGCAAGTAGCAATTCCAAAGCCTGGACATATCCCAGCAGTTGCTGCTGATCCTATTTCTCACCTTCCCTACTCATGACAGGATTGGAAGATTATTGTATGAAAAAAGATTTAGAGTCTATGAGAATAGTTGTAGTTGATTATGTGAAAGATCCCTGCTACCTAAGCTGTTATTTCCAGGGATTTCAAAATAATTATGTAAGAAAATGATCAGATAAATGAGTAATATTCCCCTTACTAAATGAAGACAAGGCACAAATAAGTAACTTAGTTCTTCTCCGTTTAAGATTTTTATTTTATTTTTAATTATGTGTTTGTGTGTATGTACATGTGTGTACCCATGGAGGTCAGAAGAGGGAGTCAGATCTCCTAGAGCTGGAGTTACAGGTGGTTGTGAACTACTGGATATGGATGCTAGGAACCAAACTCAGATTCTCTGCAAGAGCAGCAAGTGCTCTGAACTGCTGAGCTATCTCTACTGCCCCTTTTTCCTTTTCTTGATAAGTGATAATAGCTTATATTTAATCACATTTAGTAAAACCAACAAGTAAAGGTTATAAACTCAGAGCACTCATTGAGTTAAATAATTATGCTAAAGGAAAGTTGACATGACTTTATAAATAAAAGACACTGAGATATAATCAATAAATAATAAAAACTGATAGAAAATATAAACATATCAGAGTTCACTTCCTACACTGCAAATATTACAACAAAGAGGGACTTTAAAAAGATCCCACTCCAGGTCTGGCATGGTGGCACACATTTTTAATCCCAATGCATGGAAAGCAGAGGCAAGCAGATCTCTGTGAGTTTGAGGCCAGCCTGGTCTACATTGCAAGTTCCAGATCAGCTGAGACTACAGGAAGACCCTGTCTCAAAAAAGCAAAAAAGACCCCATTCCAAAATTATTCGTTTGGACAGACAGCAAGTCCTGTGTGAATAACAAAAATTCAAAAACTAAGATTAAAAGCAATCCCAAAGCCTGGACATATCCCAGCAGTTGCTGCTGATCCAGGGCTGGAGAGATGGCTCAGCGGTTAAGGGTTAAGAGCACTGACTGCTCTTGCAAAGGACCCAGGTTATACTCCCAATATCCACATGGCAACTAACAACCATCCTAACTCCAGTTCCAGGGGATGTGACACCCTCTTCTGACCTCTCTGGGTACTGCATGACACAGCTGCACTTACATACATGCAGGCAATACACTCAACACACATAAAGATTAAAAATAATAAATAAATTTTTTTAAAAAAAGCCTGCCAGGCAAAATGTGGCAACTGGTGCAACAGTGGCACAACTGTTGGGGGGGCGGGTCATGAAGCTCTCTCAGATTGGATATGAGGCCTGCTCAACAGGAGGGAATTCTTACCTTGTACTAGAAACCAGATCAAAACCTATGGTTGGGGAGGTCATAGGCCCTAGGGGAAAACTTGCTACTGCTGATTTGCTAAAGTGACACAGTACCAAACTGCATTCTAAATATTCATGCTTATACCCAAAACAAATGCTACTCTAAGTCTTTTTTTAAAAAAATATTTTATTTTTTTATTTTAAGTATATTGCCTGCATGTATGTGAGCTCGCCCGTGTCATGCAATGCCGTGGAGGTCAGAAAAGGGCTTCGGATTCCGCTGGAACTGAAGTTAAGGATGGTTCGTAGCTGCCATGTGGGTGCTAGGAATCGAACCCGGGTCCTCTGCAAGAGCTGAGCCATCTCTCCAATCCAAAGTTAATTTTTTGAAAAATTAAACTTTGCTTTTGTTGATTTTTCTCAATTTTCTATTTTAATTTTTTCACTTACCATTTCCTTCCTACTGATTTTGGTTTAATTTGTTCTTTGTTTAAATTTCAATTGCTGATCTAATATCTTATTTT